AAGGAAATAAGAACAGCTAATGCAAAATATTGAATTAATATTTTATTACAGACAAAAGAGACTTTTTTAAGATGACGCAATCCAGTCAAGCACTCTTCTCAGCCTGAGAACACAATGTTGTCTTTCCTGTACCTGTTGCAGGGGCTGGCTTTAGCTGCACAGTCTTTGTTTTTAAATGTCAACATGGTGGCTGCCTAAATAAGAAAACAGACTGATCAGAGGCCAAATAAAAAATCAGAGGGGGAGAATATCTGAAATGTTTTTCTAAATTGTCTGCTTTACTTCAGGATTACTATTTTGATTACGCTCAAGGACTTGAAAAGCATGAAGCCAAAAGTATGGTGTGCTGCGTAAAAGGAAGAGCAAAGGCACAGCAATCACTCGTGTCCTCTGGGTGCAGGATGAAATTCGCTGTTACATGCATCAATCATCCTCTGCTGCAGGGCCTTCTGAGGGGTACTACATAGCTTAATACAAAGGAGAGAGAGAGACATAACTATTTGTCTACTTCTTTATGTTCTGTTGGCTTATGGAGTGGCTTGCGAAGGATAAAATTCACTTCAATGCCTCACTGTTTTGATTACAAACTCACCTTGCTGTCGTCTACAGCAGCACACTGCTTTTTAAAATCCTCTCCAGATGCAGATTGATATCCATCGCAATACCATGCATTGCAAATTCAGTCAAACATTCTTATGGGACTACTAAAAATCCTGCAGATATCACATTCCTTCAGAATTTTGGAACCTGCTAAATAACTTGGATGCTGTCACAGTGACTTTTCCCCTAAAATCACTTGTTCCACTATTGGAAGGAAGAAAAAACATAACATAATAGGAGGTGATGTTGTTACCAAACACAAACAAATCAGAAAACCCTGCTGCTTCTCAGGTACCCAGGCCGAGGAGAACTGCCACTAAGGTGAGCATTTGTTCCAGTCGCAGATTCCCTCCAGATTCAGGTGCACAGGTCATCGCTCATGTCATGGCTAAACAAGACTTTCTCAGCAGGAACTTTTATAAATACAGACAGCTTTTGTTAAGGGTGAGAGGCAGGTTAGAAACAGAAAAACAATGGCTACATATGGGTGGTAAGTTCTACCAAAGTGAAAATGATCTAATAGATGTCATGTGTAAGAACTTTGGTACTGAAGCTGTAATTGCAATGGGCAATAAGATACCTGCACTTTTTCATTGCCATAATCACAAATTTTGGTGGAAACTAAAGCCCTGGCACATCTTTGTGTCATCAGGGGAACAGTGAGGCCAGGAAGGCTATTTCTTACTCCTTGGGGCATGCCACAACATGGAACCCAGCACTGAATGTTCTCCATCCCTGTGCATGGGACAGACACAGCACAAGCATGAGCTAACAAGTCCTCAAATGGAGGAGAAGTCCTAACATCTGAGACATTCCTGCTGAGCCATTCGCTTCAGTCAGACTTACCTGTCTCTGGTGTGAGCTGCAAGGATGCCAAACAGCCTACAGGAAGAGCTAGAACTGAATATTCAAAGGATTTTGCTTTCTTTACCTGTGCAGCATGAGCAAAACAGCAATAAGAAATTGCAAAAGATGTATGTCTTTATCACACTTACCTCTGAAATTAAAAACCTATTTTAATTCACCTTTCTCCCAATGTTAAGAACAGAAAAAGACAAATTCTTCACAACGTTATAGTATTTCAGGAAATTTTACACATTTTGCTTTCATTTTAACTTTAAAACACAAGTTGTTGTATTTTGCCAATTTTTGTCCCTTTAATTCACCCATTCTCTGTCCTTACTTGTTAACTTCTCTCCATGTAATTTTTGTTTATATAGCATCCTGTGGATTAAAATATAGAACAGGCAGAACCAATACATGTGGATTTACTCTAAACTTCATGTCTGCTCAGCTTTCCTTAATAAGCTTCAGTCTAGTTTCTCCATTTTGTTATACCAGTAGATTCATACATTTGAAATACAGAATTTAAAGCTCATAGAGAAATCATTCATCCAAATTTCATTTTAGGAGAATACTCAGCAGTTATTGGAGATGCTGGAAATGAAACTTGAGCTTATAACATTAAAAATAAGGAATAGTTATTCCAACCTTGACTTTTATTAAAGATGTGTGAGTTTTTAGCTGTCTTTTTCTTTTGTATAAAATAACAAAATGTAGTTATTCCTGCTATACATATGTTCCCGTTCTTCTTGTTTAGTTAGGGTATTGAGGCCAATCAGCATTTGAAACCAGATCTCCTAGGCTCCTGTAAGTACCAGAAATCCCATTTGTTGTTTCATCATCTCTGGTTTAAATCCTGACAGTCTCTCTAAGATACCAGCCAACGTTATGTGTGCTGGTATCTTTTCTATGTTGGATGGTGTTCCTAACATGACAGATGAACTGTTTTTTCACAGGTTTTTCAAAGGAACTTTTAGTCAGTAAAGCTTCTCTGAAACTACTGGCTTGGAATGTATTTGAGCCAATTAAATAAAGGCTGAATGTCATTGCTGACTCTTTTACCCATCCAGTTTTTTCTGTAATCAGATTATCCAATTTTATACAGTTTCTGCACTGGCCAGTTTCAGGTTTGAATTCACAGAGAGAAATGAAGGGATTTTATTATTAATAATAATAATAATTTCCAGACGTACAAAATATTAATATCTTGAGAATGTATCACACAAAGAGTAAAAAGATTTATACAAGGATAGTGCTAAGATGAATACCACCCCTGAGATGTGCCAGTGTTTATTAATAATAGGCTAGTTTCAAGCACTGAATATATTTTCAGGTGACAGAAAGTGCCTCAGCTGAAGACTGCTGCGGTGCAGAGCAACCTACGCCTGGCAGCCTGTTGTCAGAGAAGGTGAAAAAATGGATAGGGCTGGTTAGATAAGGCACCTCTCCACGACTGTCAGGAGAGGCACTAATTCACCATTTCCAAATTACTTGCAGATTCCATTAGCTTAGTCCGTTATTTCCAATGTGGATTATCAATTTGACTGAATTTGAAGATAATGAAGCCTCATTTTTTTTTTAAGTGCCAGGCACCCAAAGCATTATTTGAAATCAATGGGTTATGGGAGTGTGCCTTAGTACCTATGAAAATTAAGTCCAAAATAAATTGCACATGTAAAAACAGCAGCAAATAATTAGTTTGAGCCTGTTTTCAGTGAAGCCAATGACTACAGTTTTATTGATGTTATTGGGCATGAATCAAGCTCCGTATCATGAGCATATCCAGCAATTTAAAAAAAAATGGGCAATTTCCACAAGACTCTGAATCTCATTTAAGGATGCCCTGCAATACATTCTTAGACCTTACAATGTACTGCCTCTGTTAAGGAGACTTTCTGAAACTTTCTACATTAGGAATCATGCATGTCAAGTTGTTCCTGCTTACTTTTGCAAATAGATAGTAAAGCGATCTGGTTTTCTTGTTGTTGTTTTGTTTTTAAATAAACAACATCTGAATATTATTAATAGCCAGTGCTGTCACTTTGAGATCCATCCAGTGTATAATTAAAAAATAAAAATGAACAGCAAGAAAACACTAACAAGACAAACCCAAAGTTTTCAAGAGCTTCAAAAACTTTGGTCAGAGACACATGTAAATGTAGGACATACTGGCAACATCTGATACAAAACCTACCGCAAGGCATGAGCAAGTTCCACTTGCGCTCACATCACTTGTCCTTTTTCCCTTCCATGCACCAGCCATAGCAGGAAAAGAGGCTACATGTTTCAAAGGGATCTACAGCCATATTTTCTTCCATTCCTCTCAAGCCACATTATTTAGGAGCAACACATGAAAACTGATCCTTGAATTTGGAAAGGACATATTTCTAAAAGTGTTTATATTTCTGTGAAAAAATATTTTACCATCCAATCAAGCTGTGATAATGAAAATACCTGTTCCACACATTCAGAAACTCAAAATACAACAAGTTTTTAGCAATTAGCTTTTGGCTGGTTCCTTGCTACACAGGAGGCTGCCCTTTAAGCCTTTAAAGGGCAGAGCTAAGCACAGGCTATGGTTCAGGAGGAACCTGGGGGACCCATCGCAGTAGCAAATGGCCCTGTTCTCAGAGGTCTCTGGACCTCTTGACAGAGCCCATGAGAACTGTGGTGATCCAGCCCTCCTCAAAACAAGCCATGGAAATCTACTAGGGAGAGACTGTGCTCCTGCATTTTGTCATGTCCTCAGCAAAATCTGATATGTTCTGGTCCTTGAAGAGCTCATTGCAGTACTTAGCAGCAATGTATGAAGTTACTTATTTATGGCCTGAGACTGCTTTGAGCAAGGAGAGAGACAGTAGCAGTCTCTTTTTGTGGTATCAGCTATGAGGTGATGTGTTTTTAAGTGCTGAGGAAGTGCTACACGTTCACAGCTTGTCTGCTGTGTGCTTTCTGCTAGAAGCTCACAGCTGGTGAGAAGTTGCATGGGGTATCATGCTGTATAGTGACCCAGCGCATCACTTCTGCAGCCCACTGCTCCTCCACACTGCCCAGCATGCCTAAAAATCTTCTCCCCATCACCTCAGAGACCACCAAGAGCATGAGCTGCATCCAAAGCCACGAAGCATCTTTTGGTGAGCCACTTCTCCTGTTTTCTGTATTGAAACACAGACTCATGTGGCAGCAACACACGTATCCTATCCTCTCACCCCCAGCCTGCAGCCCTCAGGCTCATGGAAACTGCTCTGCTTGGTGCTGAGACCTGCTCATAGAGCCCCATGCTGTGACCAGGAACTCATCCCTTGCTTTTAGGGCAGTTAATTCAATTAGCTCTTCTGTTTCATCTCTTAGGTTTGCAATTTTTTTTCTTTTTTCTTTTTTTCCCCCCATTCAGTTTTCTTCACCATTTCAGGTCGTTTTAGTTTAAAGTTAATCTGAGAAATGAAAAGGCATCAGATCCTACAGTGCAACTCTGTTTTTACCTCAGTTTGAAGAATAACTTCTATTTTAGTGGAGGAAAATCAACACATGAAGCACATGTGATTGCTCCTTTTCACAAAGAAAGTAAACACATTCTTATAATGAATCTATGAATTAAGAGAGGCTCCTTTGAAAATATCTTCGTAGACAGTAATGGTATCTTACACAAGGTAATTAAGGCATCTTTATGCACTGCAGGAAACTGGATAACACTAGCATTCATCTGGTGATGACAGAACATACGCTCTCTTTTGTATTTTGATTTTTTTTTTCTTTCTGTTAAGGGTATCTAGTCTGTAAATAATCTCACTCTTAAGTTTGGGAGAATTTTATTACCTGTGTTGGAAGGATTTGATTTTCCACTTGTCTTGAGTTTGGGGGAAAAGAGGACCAAAACCAAAAAAAAAAAAAAGTTATTCTCTGTTTCAAGAGAGAAGAATCAGACTTTTTCCTAGCACTTTCTCAGGTCACCACCAAAGAGAAGCAAAGGCATAGAAGAGAAGCACATACAACATTTCTTCTCTTGGCAGCTGAAAGCTTAACTTCTGAATAGGGAAAACTGAATTTCTGTTAAGAGAAAACTCAGTTTATAGTTCACAATGTGCAAGCATTTCATGGGAGAACGAACAGTCCAGGAATCTGAGAAACAACTGGAGTGTAAGGCAAACTGCAGAAATATCTATCCTGACATTGCTAGAGTAAGATGAGCAGCAGTGTTTTTTCTGGCAAATTCCTTGCAGTGATTCAATGAGAATAACTATGCAAGCCTATGTCTTTTTGTTGTGAAGGCAGCATGTCTATTTACTGCAGCCAAAAATCCTGACTGAAAGGTATTTTGCCTTTCTGCCTCATGCATTTTGTTACCGATATCTCATATCAGTGTTCATTCTCGTATAGGTTTGCTTCACCTTTTGCTGGCTTAATAATATACAACATTTCAATAAAAATAATCCCCTGCCCCAAAATGATATAGAAAAATAGAAACAAAAATAAAGAACTCTAGCTGTGACTATTGTATTTCCAAGATTTTATAGTTCATGGAAAAAAAAAAAAAAAATCAGATCCTTAAAAGAGGTCCCTGTCTGCATCTTTCTTCTCCATTTAAGTCTTCCCTCCACAGGCTCTTCCGTGTTTCACATAAGACTGGCTGTGACAATATTAACAATATTTAACATAACTATTAACAATAGTTACAATTTGTTGGATGACTTCATGCTGCTTCATGTAAAATCGACTAACTTGGTTCCATGGGAGTAATTTATGTGAAACTGATACCAGAAGAATATTAAAATGTTAGAAGACCCAGCACTCTGCAAACCAGATCCAATAATACAGCTCTTCTTTCAGTAGCCATCCTTTGCAGACTGTTTACAGAGAAATTCAGTGGTTATATAATCTGTCAATGAGATGTTTGCTTTTTTCCATAAATTTAATTAGGTTTTGATAGATTCATCAGTTTTCATCTAAATTATTTTCGGTGAATTCTAATTGGTTCCTGCTGTGGCTTGGCAGCCACATAACTGATCATATGCCTATTTAATCCACTCATGGGATATTTAACAAATTGTTAGCTATTTCACTGTGCACTGAAGTGTAGCTCTACCAATTCTTTTTTGCTGTCATGCTACTGGAGCTATTATGACAGTCCATTATGTGATTTATTTTGTGAAATAAATGTGAAACGTTGCAAAAACAACAATACATCATAATCTTCACCCAAAATATAATAAGGCCAAAAGTCATCTCTAAGCTTGTACATGCAAAAACACTAATACCTTTCCTTCCAGTCTGTGGACAGTAGTTTGCCTTTTCTGACATTAATGCACTAAGTAAGACATATTGCAGTGAAATAGTTATGTGATAATTCATTTTATCCTTCTAAAATAAGTACTTAATTGGTTAAGAGAAAAAGCAATAGGCCTATTTATCAGATGTTTAGGCTTGTCTACCTGGGGAAATAGCTTAGAATAGTTATTGCATACTAACTCTTCATGTGGACATTCCTAATCCATACTGAAAATGTCTCTCTCTTTAGTTCAGTCAGCACTGGGCATGAGTACAGACTGGGTGTAACACTTTAAATTCAAAAACTGATTCTGCAATAACTCCCCCATACAGACAAATTCTTAATGAAAACAATATAAGGAGTTCAGCAAAACAGCTGTAAAGCTTATACACTTTTTCCCTCATGTAGTAAAATGCTCACTCTCCTGGACATGATGCAGCTTGTTGGGCAGGAGTAGAAGAGAAACCTTGGGAACAAGGAAAGGCACTTCAGACAGGGGTACCCAAAGGACAGGTCCATAAGCTTCCTCTTTTCTCCCCGAAGTCACTTAGTCTATGTGGTATCAATCCTTCTCTTTTATAACTTTATTTTTTTTTTTACTTTTTTTTTTTTATTTAATATTTCTCATTGCTAGAGGAAGGTGCATTCCTTGTGTGCTTGGTCTACGTAACAGTCCTGCAGTACCTCAGCCTTCTACTGGAGATTTGGCACTGAGAGTTCCCTCTCCTGGCACAGAGAGGCTGAAGCAGTGAAGAAGATGGTTCCTGGCCAGACCTGCCAGTGTGAAATGATTTTTCACTCTCTCTAAATTAAATATCAGGGTAACGAGGCCTATAAAATGGTGTGAAATTTTGAAAGACAAATGTAATAGATGTGCAAAATATGATCAATCACCCTCTCAGTAGAAATACCAAGTTTTCCCAGAACCTGGTAATTTCAGCATGACACAATTCACACAATATCAGCCTTTAAAAAAAAAATCCATAACTCAGATATCAGAAAACAAGACAAAGCAGAGCTGCCAGCCTTCTACTCCAGCAAACTACCTAAAATATTATCAAACTTTATAATTCACATGTTGTAGGAGACAGACAGCAGCTTCTTATCCGCATTTCCTTAACAGAAGTCGAATACTCACTCTTGGCCATGCTAGGTGAATAAACAAGTGCAGTAAAGCACTTTAAAATCAAACCATTAGGGATGACAGACTCTGGCAGATTAAGTCATGATGGCAAGGTCAGTGGGATGTGAAACTTGGCTAATTATGTCATGCCCTTGTCAGCTTGCATTGGCAAAACATGCTAAGGTTACCGGCAAGCCCTATGGCTTAGTGAACAATACTAAAAGGAATTTCAACCTGAAATAGGTCAACATGAGCGGAATACAAATGCTTGAGCCCCAAAGACTCTTGGTGAAAGTCTGGCATTGCAGGAGTGAACAGGAGCCTGGCCAGTGGCCCCAGTGAGGCCAGGATTTTGCCCTTTGGCTTTCACAGATATGACATTCAATTAATTCCTTTGCCTATGTTCTGTAGATTGGTCTTCATTGTATGTCACAAGGAATTTGTAGATTGCAAACTGTGTAGCAAGGAACTACATCCCATTAAAGGCCTGTATGAGTACCAGGTTAATGGGACCCTGATCCTTCTGGGGCCACCAGGCTCATGCTGAAGAACAAAGCGATAAAAGAAAGCTTGACCGCAGCGCAGGAATGATCGTGCTGTAGGAATTAGCTAACATTAATCACTTGAAAATTCCCACGTGTGATATTCTGTGTGGACTGAGTTTTCTTTACTGCTGGGCATAGGCATTGGTAGGCTTACCAAATGAGCAAAGCAAAAATACTTCTTAACAGCCGGAGGTGCAAAGGCAAACATGCTCACCTCTAAGAGGCACTCAGATCATGCAGAGCAGTATCTGAGGTGATCTACGGGCACCATCTTCCTCCATCATTTCATAGAAGCACAGGTCTTCTGAGCTCTGCTCAGCATGTCTAAGGGCAGTAGAAGAGAAAGAGTAAACAGTGTATATTTAATCCCTCCTCAGTGGGCTCTATGGTCAGAAATTTCAATGAATACCCTTAAACTTCTCCAAATTTATTCTTACAAATGCCTTGACTCAAGAACCTCAACAGAATCTGGAGGGCCAGGGGTTATGAAGAGTTAGAAATCTCATTGTAACACACATATCCATGTCTGCTATCCAATGCAGATTTTTTTTTTTTTTTTAATTGTGGATATACAATTGTTTAATTGTAAACATGGATAACTATTTAAATAGCACTCATTATTTATGTTAGATGTATTTGCCTTAAAAAATGGTTTATTGTTTTCTCCTAATGAAGTAAATAAAGCCAGATGGGAGAAGATGAGATTGATTAAAAATAATAATAATAAAAATAAATAAATAAATTTAGGCAACTACAAGTAAGGAAGCACAGTGAGATTTTTAGAAGTGCCCAGCAGGCCTGATGTCTTACTTTTGCTAATGTCAGAAAGGGTTTTACTGTCAAGCTGCCAAATGAATGGCAATCTAAAAGATAAGAAATAGGCTATTATTAGTGTCAGTACCAGAAAATGTTAATGTCAGTGATATTACAGTGAATGAAATCAGACAGAGACAAGTACCTAAGAACAAGAAGGTTTCAGAGAAGGAAAATCATACATTGAACAAAAAGTTATGTCATTAAGAATCCTAGAAGTGCAAAATATCTCTAATAACAGTCATTCAAGAGACACTTCATAGAATAAAGTGACCTCAAAAGATAGTTAGAATTAGATAGGAGTAATAATCCTCTAGTGAGGAGGCAGATATTGTTAGCCATGAAATCAGGAGGAGAAAAGAAGAGCGCAACAAGTGAGAAGTATCCGGTTTGCGTGTTATTACCACAGCCTCTTGGGCTGGCCATAGAGAGACCCATGAGACAGCCTGGGCAAGGGACACCATGGAGATCCTGGGAGTAAACATCTGAAATGCAAGGAGCTGCATTTTGTTAAAGATTTAACACTCCCCTTGTTTCTGTGCACATACAGATAAACCCCCAAAGTCAGGAAAAATGGAGAAAACAATGTCTCAACAAGATCAAATTTAGCAAAAATGGAATGATTGTGAATAACCAAGAGTAAATCAGAAACTATGGAAAATTCAGTTGCATTATGAACAACAAGAAAGAAGCATAAATAACTGTATAAACAGGGGAAGTTTCTGGCAACATGAACAGTTCAGGTAAAGTAGAAAGCAACATAGGAAGCATCTGTCAACATCTACAAAGATGAAGCTGTGCAACAACATAGGATTTTTGCCATCAGGAGGCAGAACAGAGGTATGCCCAAACACAACATGGTCCTAAGAGAGAACAGAAAGCAAGAAATAATTTTAATTCACAATGTCCTCTTTATCAGAAGCTGAGTAAACTTGCAAAGTTACAAACATAGAAACATATGAACAAAGGACATACTAATGACCACAAATGGTCACATGGAACCGGGCATGTACAAAACTAGAAGCACGTTTCAACAGTAAAAATCATCCAGAAGCCAATATAAGAGTGTAAAGGAGGAAAAAGCAAATTTTGGAAGAACACCAGAGCAAAAAACTGGCATAAGCATAAAGTAAGCTGTGAATCGGCTGGACATAAGCAGATGAATGGAAAGGCATCCACAGCTTTTCTTTAAATGAAATAAATAATAAAAAGCTGAATCGTTTTATTTGCCTAAGAAAAGAGAATGCTGAAATTCCGTTTTAGTGTGTTTTACCTTGAAATCCACTTTCCATACAGTAGCCACTTGGCAGAATCACAAGGGAAAAAGTACCTGGTTATTCAGTGTATACTAATGTGGTAGAGAAAATGTGGTAGAGAAAATGTAAAATGTCGTTACAGAGAAAAACAGGTTATGCTGTGTAACTGCTGTAATAAATATGTATGTAGGACCAAAAGAGTAACAAATTTAGTATAAAAGTATATTCAGTTGCAAATCTGTATATGTGCATGATTATGAAAATCAATAAGAATTTTCTTTTCTTTTATGAAGTATAAATACAAAAAAAAAAAAAAAAAAAAGATCAAAATGAATGCCTTTAGCAAAGCTCCCTTGTTTCTGGTTTCAGGCCAGTAAAAAAGAGTTTGAAGAACAGTTTTCAGAAGGCATAAAAACCTCATAATTAATCATTTCTTCAAACACATCAGGAACAGGAAGCTATAGAGTTTGTAGGCCCATTAATTGATCAAAGTATAAAAGGAGCTCTCAGAGAAGATAAAGCAGAGAAGGAAAATTAAATGATTTTTTGCAGCCTTGAAGGAGTTTAGAGAAAATTCTGGGCTGGAACCCTTCTTCATACATCAGAGGCAATATGTCAGAGAAGCTATCTCGGAGTGAGTTCATTAGAAGAATCTGTAGAAGAAATTGTAAAAATTAAGGTAACAAATTGCCAGGTCCAGGTGATTTAAAAGCTGACCTACTAATGGAAGCTGCAAAGGCATTTAGAGCTGACATGGCACTGCAGCAATGGAGGGTGGCAAATGTGATGACAAGTTTTAAAAAGTTGCAAGGATAGCTACCATCTAGGAGCTTTCAAAACTGTGTTGGGATAATTGGTAGAAAATAAATCAGTGTATGCTGGGAAAAACGCAGTACTCTGGAGAAGCAGCTTTAAAAAAGGAAGGCATGTCTTGCAAGCCAGGCAGGCATCGTTGAAGGCAACCAAGAAGAGACCCAGCTAAGAACCTAGGCCGCAGAAAAAAAAAAAAATAAAACAGCTGTGCTAGATTTGCTAATGGCCCAGCGTCGTGCCTCCAAAAGTAAATGCCTGAGGAAGAAGAGACCAAGAAATATGTATGTAAGTGATGTTCCCAATGAGTACTCTTGGGACCTTCGATTGTTTTGGCTTCCAGGAATTCTTTGGGCAGACTTCTATTCATTTAGTAACCCTAAATGGATTTGTCATCTGTGAACTCACCCAGTCTGTTTCTTAAATCCAGAAAACCTTACACTATCCTAGTAATGTGCGGCAATGAATTCTGAAACTTACCTGCATATCGAATGAAGAATCACTTTGCTTTTTATTCTAAGTGAGGCTTCTAGCAGTGCCCTTAAATGGCCCCTAGTTCATATACAGCAGAGACACTGAAGAAGCAATTCCCACCCTTTTTTGCACATACTAATTGGGATTTAACCTCCTCGGATTCCCAAAAGGCATTTGACAATATCCTTTACCAAAAATTCTTCAAAGTTCTTCAAAATTCATGTTACCACACAATAAGGAGGAACTCATTTCAAGGTAAAAATAATTAAATAAATAAATAATAATAATAAGATTTAGTAAATGAAGAATAGGAATAAGCAGTCAATTTTCTCAATGCAGGCAAGGCACCAGTGGAGTCTTAATAGGTCTGTGCTGTTCAACACACTTCTAAATCACCTGCAAAAGGAGGTGAATTGGGAGATGACAATATTTCTGTTGATAAAAAGTTTTTTCTGTGCAATTGGGTGAAAAACAGCACAACATGGTGATACAGACTGACTGGATGGTTAAGTGGCAGATGAAATTCAAAGTAGATAAATGTAAAGTAGCAAGCCTGAGAAAAACAATCCTAACTTTACGTATACAGTGACAGTATTCAAATTATCATTATAATTCAGGAATAAGATCTTGAAAATATAATAAACAGTTTATGGAAGTGTCAGCTCAATGCTCAGGAGTAATAAAAAATAATATATATTGTTTAAGTGTTAGGAACTAGTAGGAAGGAAAAAAAGAAAGTAGAGAAAGTCATCCCACACTGTATAAACGGGGGGCACCCACAGCATGAATACTGTGGGCGGTTTTGGTCCACCCATCTCCAAAGGATAAAGCAGGTCTGAAAAAAAAGGATTTGGAGATGGAGTATCAGGGTGACAAAGGTATCGAATGGCTTCTGCCTCAGAAATGATTAAATAGATTAGGCTTTTTCAATCTGAAAAGAGATGACTGAATGAGGCTGTAAGAAAGGTCTACGACACTGCTAATGTATAGGAATAAGGATGTTGCATTCATCGTGTTTTCTAATAAAAGAACCAGGAACATTCAGACAAAGCAGATGGCAAATTCAAAACAAACAGAAGAAATAATACATAGTTAGCTGTGAAATGTCTTTCCAGAGACTTTCAGCAGAGTTTTCTGGGCTTCACAATGTTATTAGGCAAAGCAGGGTAAGAAAAATCCATCCAGCTCTATTAAATCAGGCAATAGAATCTGTAGTGCAGGAGGGATGGGTTACCTGAAGCTGGGGCATTGTGCTGGGGAAGCGTTTTACGGATGCCCTGGCTTTGTGCTCCTCTCACTGGCTGCTGTCAGAGAGAAGATGATGGAGTAAATGACTGCTTAGCTTAACCCTGTACAGCCTTTCTCGTGTGCTTAATCAATCCACTCTCAGATTGAGAGCTAATAAAATGGTTTTATTTTTTATTCTATTAAAATAAACATATCCTGAGTGGAACTCACTACAGATGGTTTGCAAGGAGCCCCACTAGACTATGAAAATGATAACATTTTTTCAGCGGTGCTTTGAAGTTTCATGCTTGGAGCTGTGAAAAAAATAAGTGAATGCAAGTTATTGACAAATTGACACAGGAGAGTGCTTTAGCAGAAATCTAACTGTAGCATGACATAGCAAGTGACGATGGCCAGTTGTGGTGGGATGACCCTAGAACACGCATTTAGGTGCAAATGAAGTTCATATCAGTCACAGCACAGTTAGTTTCAACTACAATGAACACCAAGATGGTGGTTTAAGCCTCAGTTTATCAGTTTGCAGTAACCACAAACTGTCGGTTACAGAGGTCAGAGTTTGGATCTTGCTTTGCTGCCGCTGACTTCAGGTGCCACTACTTGATAGTGCTGATGTTGTTGAGTCCTGCTCCTTTTCTGGACTCCCAGCTGTGAGAAACAATCAAGGTTTGTGAATGGGCACATCGCGTGGCAGGGCTATAGTAAGTCTGAGGACAAGCCTGAGGTTTTGTAGTGGCCTCATGTTCATAGGTATGACTGAGACACACTCAGCTACCAGTCCGTCACATTCAGCTGAAGAAGGAAGCTCTTGACTCATTGGGGAAAAATAAATAAATAAAAATAAATATATATATATACATACACACACACTAATATATACACTATACTATATATATAGTTTCAAGGGATTTGCTGTGAAATAGACCAGGCTACACTAAAACTAGGTAAAAAAGCTAAAAAGGTTTTTTTTTGTTTTTTTTTTTTTAAATCATGGTTAATAAAGATGTAGTTTAAAAACAATAAAGAAGCAACTTCCAAAATACCACTACCACTTACTTCCCAATGTTTTCTCCCAAAAGGAAATCAAGAGCTGCAAGAGATCCCTGGCTTCACTTGGCTTTTATATTTTTCTGCATGGTGTGTGATGGAGCTGGCACTGCTCTCCCTCCACTACAATATGTGCCAAATCACCCTACCTCTCTTCTCCGGGTAGGCGTGATGAACCAAGCATCATCCTCATCAAGAGGACAGCGCTGTTTCAGGTTTTCAGGGACACAGTGCCCCAGCAGCTTCAACCACATTAGGCTTCAGTTATTAGCATTAAGTGCTCTGAAAATCTGGGCCTTAAGGACCTGGTTTTGGTTAGTTTCATCTGATATCCAGCTGAAAATGCTCAGCACATTTATCCCATCAGCAGGAAAAGGCAGCTCACCTGAAGTGGTTTGGAAATAAAGGGAAGCTTTGCTGGAGCTTCTTGACAGATTTTAGCAAATATCCCAAAGAAGAATTTAAAAATTCAAATTACCAGTAGTTCAGAACTGGCAACACATGTAAAAAAATGAATCATGTAAGAAATCTCCATGTGTCTTTTGCCAGGTAATTAAAAAGCATCCTGCAAATTGTTATGGTATGTTTTTGAATGTGCATATTATGAACTGATGTTTGTGGCCCTTTGCTAGACAATTTGCAAATAGAAAGATTGTCACATTAAATCATTATAAAATATAGTCACATTTATATTCCAGTTTTAGTCCACATTTCAAGTGCAAGATGGAAAAATTAAGAGTTTTCTTTAATTGAAGTGACTACGCTGAATGTTAATGAACTTTTGGTTGAGTTTGGACATTTTCATAATTCTGATGTTCTTATTTTGCTGACAAATTCAAGGAGACAGATGACCTCCTCTAATGTTCTGCTGTTTAATGGAAGGAGGCCCACAGGGAATTGTATTATTTTTTAAAATTATGAAGATTGTTCCACTTCTCTGAAGACTGACAGAAGGTGATACGACAAAATAGGAGTGAGAAAAGTTACCATGCCTTTGCATTCCCATTTTGCTTATTGGTACAGTATTTTTATGAGAGCACAGGCTGTGCTAGAACTAGGAAACAGAAATGCGGGGTTTGCTCATTTATGCCATGGCATAAAGATGGCCTTCATTTCTTTACGAGACAGACATCACAATAAACAGATGCAAAAAATGTGAAAGTTTTACAATGCATAATTTTGTCTTTGCTACTTGACAGAGTTTGTTTTCAGCAGAAATGCAGTCATTAGGCCAGATGCGTTTCATACAATGATGTACACTCATCAGAGCAGGACATGTTACAGCAGCAGGACGGGGGCCTGGACCCTTACTTCACACAGGTGCAAGCAATTACCCAAACTAAAAAGCAGATGAGTACTCATCTAACATACTCTGCCTTCCACGAGAAATGCCAAACAAAACCGAAGTGTTTTCTACTGATACTTCTATTTCAAATGCTGATTGGAAAAGAACATGGAAATGGGCATGGAATAGGAATAATAGTTGTGAGGGCAGAAAAAAAAAACAAGTCTGAATGAAACAAGAATGGACACACAATCTTTACTCGATTTTTTAACCCCAAAGTTACAGATTCAGAAAGCTGAAATCTTTTTCTGACTTTGTGTGTCCCTGTATTTCCCATTTTCAGCTGGAAACAGAACTCATAAAAATCCCACCTATTTTGAATCCCCATAATTAAAAGATAAGAAGAGAATCATGGAGGAAAAGCCTACTCCTCAAACTGCCACTCCTGATGTGACATTCAGAGGAGCTGCCCTGTGATTTAGAAATTCTGTTATTTGTCCAAACACAGCATTTAAGTGTCTGTTGACATTATACATAGGTTTTCAGTGAGGCTATCATGAATATTCTCAATTACAAAAGAGAAAAAAAAATCTTTTCTAGAATTAGGTTTTTCTTCAGACTTTGAGATACAGCAATGCAAAAACTCTAAAGTGCTTTGGTTCCTTACTGAATAAGTCATCATTTGCATTAAAACAAGCAGAGAACTTAACGTTTTACCATTTAATAAGCATGCTGGAACAAGGAATCCCAATGGCAGGCTGCTCTTAGGACAGCAGAGGAAGGACCTGGTGGTGTTGGCAGGCTCAGCTGTTACTTAGGCACAAACCATAGCAAATATCTCAGTGTACTATAGTTAATTAAATGTTGAGGGGCTCATTTTGGAGAGCAGAGCTTGCTAATTCTGTGCCTTGAAAATATGCTCATAACAATGACAGGGCTTTTTTTAGTTCTAGCTTCACAGTCTCGTGAAGTGCAAGGTTATATCACACTTCAATTGATTAAGTGCAGATCGCCCCGGTAGACAGATTTGATTATGCTGCAAGTATGAGCTTGGGGAGAGTAATTAGGAGTTTCATCCTCATTCTGCATCTCCAGTTCCACATTTAGATTACAAGAAGAGCCTTTCAGGTTTCTTAATTTATTTTTACAAGATATCACAGATCCGCAGCTGTTTGGCAGCAGATAGAGAAGAAGGTGTATTTGTGAAACATATTGAGCCCTTAATTATGGAGGCATTTCTTGTTTTGGTGACCTCCATCCTTGTTCAACTTATCTGTAGTCACAGTCAGCAATAGCTGGGAGAGAAATGGAGCAAAGACAGCTAAACTGTTTAGGCAGCATCATTAATGCTGACTTTGTTTGGTTTCTTCACCTGCTCAGTCTTCTATTTAAAATTGTCAGGTGGCTGGCAAAGCATTCAGGAAAGTTTATATTTGCCCAGTCATGATTTCCAGAACAGAGTTGTTTTTTTCCCTGACTTTTATTCTTCTGTCTTGTGGGGACATAGGCACAAAACTGGGTTCTGAATTGCATGCTAACCTGATGTTAATGAGAGAAAAGACACTAGTATCCAGGCTAGCTCTGTACACAGTATTTCAGTTGTTAGCACCCAGTCATCCACAGTAGACATGTGATTTTAAATGGTGAAAGAAAAAAAAGCAGCATTTAAATACTTTTACAAGGGTAATATAGTCATAAGCAGCCCCCAAAATCGCTAACCAAAATGCAATATGCATAATTAGTAAGCAAAGGTAAATATACATTAAAACCACAGGTAGAGGTGTCAATTGAAATACAGTCATGAATTGAAATACATTTATTAGGGTCGTACAGAATTGAACTATTTTCTGTTCGTGTTTCTTTCAACCTGTTTGGGGCTTCAAGTGCAGAACATTGGGTCACTTCCATTATTTCTTGGTCTTCTGTGTTTCGAACATGCATAGTCATAGGAAAATATCTGTATAATGACTGCTCAAAATCAAGAACTACGTATTTGTTTCAGAAATATCTTTCCTGAAGCTGATTTCTCTTTCTGGAAAGCATCAGTTAGAAACTACAAAACAGGTTTGAATATTACTAAAAGCATTCTTGTTCAAAAAAGTCATGTCAGCAATGTGCCACAGTTCTAATTACTGCAGAGAAATTAACAAATAATTATATGCAAATAAATGAAGCTAATCAAAGTTATTAGCACATTCTGCTAGTCAATCATTTAAATTGCTTTAGGCTACAGTACAGCATTGGTACTGGAGAATCAGCTTTAAAAAAAAAAAAAAAAAAAAAAAGACAACAGCAACAACCACTACCACTTGATTGTGTGAGAGCCCAGCATACGTATGAACATTTCAAATGCAGTATTGAAACACCTAATCCATTCAGAATTAAACTGGGTAGGCACTGGTCATCCATATTACCTGCATTATGAGAATGTTTTTACATGCCGGGGGTGTTGATAGTCCCATAGATCCTATTTTTCATGTTCATGCAGAATTGTGCCCATTCCATTAAGAGAAATTTCTGAGCTGGATTTTTGCTTCAAGTGGTATTTGTTACTGTTGCTGCCTGTTTTCAATGCTGCTGCCCAAACATTTTTAGCATTTCTGGGATCAAGTCTTGGAGAAGTATGTTGTTTTAGCAGTGTTAAAAATCCTAATTACAGCAGAGACAAGCCTAGCACTGGAGTGTTTTGACACAAGCATCCTGCTTCCAAGTTGCACTTTTTCTGCCCTGTGAAAATCTGCCCAGATTTTCCAGTTTCTAAATCTCAGGAGCGGGAAGCACTTTGTTGGGTGGGGCCTTCCATTTTCTCAGCACAGTTCCCAAGCATTCCCTTTCCTCTGGTCTTCCTCCGGCCACCCCAGTGATGGGGAGGGCAGTGTCCACATGGTGTGGCTCACCGGCTCGGGGCCAGGACGCGTGGCCAAGGCCAATTTTTCTGTGGTGTTTGTCCTGGGCTCCACAGCTGTTTCATGCTCAAGAGGAGATGACTCAAACAGCAGAGAAACGATGGTGGGAAGGCTGAGGTTCATTGATGGTGGAGTAAAGGCTATCAGCTCTCCAAATGGACTGGGGCTGAGGCCAGAGAGAACACAGAGGCGGGGTGTGTGGTGAAAAGCAGTGCAGGGAAAGGATGTGACTCATGGGTGAGGGTGGTGGAGCTGTGGCTGGGAGAGCAGGAGGCAGCTGCAGAGGCAGGGTGTGGGTGATGGGGGACGCAACCGGCTTCTGGATGGGCCTGGGGAGTGCAGGAAGGTGGAGGCACTGCCTCCAAACGAGGGCAGGGAAGCAGAACAGGGCTGGCAGGCAGGATGCAGGCAGCGGTGAGATTTGGGTCAGCTTTGGTGTGAGAGAGACGCAGCAGTGCTGAGCTGTCTGCATTCTGTTGCTTCACTGTTGGAGTCTTGCTCCAGGGACACTAGACTGTATTAAATGCTGGTATGCTGGCACGGTGAGCAGAGGTGCCTGGGCATCAGTCCTGCCAACACTCCCTGCAAATATTGCCTTCTTGCTGACCAGACCTTCACTCTCCCCAGATGCAGGACCAGGTTCTTGGTGACTGTGGTTGAAGGGACCAACTGCAAGAATCAAGAGCAAGATTTTAAATTAGAAAGATTTTTTAAATTAGAAAGATTTTAAAATATGTTAGACTTCAAGGGTTTTTCATGGCTACATTTCTCATGCATACACACACTCAGCTATTGTTTTACTATTGCCCCTTTGGTTGTGTCAATCCTAGTTGTGTCAACACTTTGTGGGAGTGTTCCCAAGCACTAGAGCTGTCAGAGCTCCTCCTCTCTGAAATCATCCTTAGACAGATTTGGGAAGTTAGCACAGTCTGGTTTCATTCCCATCAAACAGGTTAGATGTGACACCTTGTCCCAGGGGCTGGGGGAATTCAGGACAGACCTGGGCCACTTCATGGCAGCTGCCCCATGTTCAGGAACTGTCCTGGACACATTTGGTGAATTCAGACAAGATTTTATATTGCACTGCAGTCAACTTGTTGTTTCCCATTCCTCATGCTTAGTG